TGGGGGGCGGGGTGGGGGGCAGGGCAGCCCCTGAGAGTGGCTGGGTGAGAGGCCAGGAGCTGTCATGGACAGGGCCTTGCAGATGACTGGACAGACAGGAGCTACCGTATGTTCCTATCTACGACGTTCCCAGGGAACGAGAGAAACTGCTCTTACCGTACTCACTCATATATAGCGCAAATAATTTAACTGACGCCTTTTTTTGGCTGGGTAAAAGGCATAAACAGCTCTTACCGTATTTCTGCACGTATAACACGCTGAAAAATAGTGGCCGCAGCCTAGGGAATGGGGTTGGGGGGGGCCTTTCTTTGCAGGGCAAGCAGTAGGAATTGCTTTTACCATAGTTCCTGATATATAACACAGAAAGCATAACTGAGTGGCTTCGGTTTGGGGGTGGGGGGTGAGCCTCTTTTTGCTGGGTAAACGGCAGAACTGACTCCTACTGTACCTTCTCGTACATAGAACGCCACAAAATGAACAAGAGTGGCCCTAGCCTGGGGAAGGGAGCCTTTCTTTGCAGGATTAGCAGCACAAACTGCATTTACCGTAGTCCCCAGCGTATAAAATGCTGCAAAAGTAATTGAGTGGCTGTAGCCGGGGGAGGTGGGGGTCAGTCTTTCTTTGCAGGGTCAGCAGATACGGCAGTTACTATATTTCCTTGAGTATAATGCACTGTAAAATTAAAGAGTAGCCACAGCCTAGGGAGGGGGGAACTTTTCTTTCTGGGTAAGCGGCAGATGCAGCTCTTACCATATTTCCTTGTGCATAACTCAGTACACATTCCTGCAGCTGAGTTGTGGGGGGGCAGTTAGACATATTATATGAGAGCAAATACGGGAAGGAGTTTCTCTCTCCTCAGGGAACTTTTTCCTCTCCCCTTCCCCAGCAGCATCAGCCTGGGCTGGGGGTTGGGACTGGGCCTCAACCCCAGAGGGGTCCCGGTGGGCAGGGGTCAGGAAGGAACTAGCCCCCGGGGTCAGGTTGGCAGAGGACCGCCCCTCTCAGACCTGCCTCCCCATCGCCCCACAGACGAGGAGCGGGAGAAGGGCAGCGAGAGCGAGCGGGAGGCAGAGGCCGGAGGCAGCGAGGATGAGGCGGGGGCCGGGGGCAGCGAGGAGGACGAGCGGGCGGCCCGGGACCAGGAGGAGATCTTCGGCAGCGACGACGACGACTCGGGCGCGGGGGAGGACGATGACGAGGACGACGAGGAGGAGGATGGGGAGGGCAGCGAGGCCGAGGCCGCCCGCAGCGCCAGCCCCAGCGACCGCTCGGGCCCTGAGGATGAGGATGATGAGGGCAGCGGCAGCGATGGCGCCTCTGGCTCCAGTGACGAGGCCAGTGCTGACTCCAGCGATTGACCTTCCCCAGCCCAGACCCTCTCCCCTCCCAGCCCTTGCCCTGTCCTGGGCCCTCGGGCCAGTGCTACCCCCCACCCAGTCCTGGGGTTGGGAGCTGGGCACGATCTGCCCAGTATTGCTCAGCTGTGGGGGGCTGCTTTTCATACTGGTGTGCCCCCCCTCCCTTCTGTACATAGCTTGGATCAGAGCCCCCCGTGGAATAAAAGGGGCTTTCTTAACGTGCCATGTCTGGTGCATGGGGGGGCCCGGTTGTGTCTCAGCTGTGGCTGAGGCTGCTTCACCCCAGGGAGCTGGTGGCTGTGACCGTGTGTGCAAGGTGGAATTCACCCTGCTCCAGTGCTCACGAGGGCCTTGTGCAATTGTGGGGACGGGACTCAAGGATGCTTTGTGCCGGAGCTTAGCTTGCCCCAGCTGCCTCTTCTCCTTGGGCTCCTCAGCTGCAGCGTGCAAGAGCCCGCTGGGGTCCAGCCTGTCCTTCGAGTGCCTGCTCAGCATCAACTGCATCCTCCACCCCCATGGGACCTGTGCCCAAACCCCCTGCTCCAGGCCTGGGGGGGGCATGGCAGGACTTGAGCTGGGGGCACAAGGCCTAATGGGGGGGGCACAGCCTAACATGGCTCAGTAGGGGCCAGTATAAACCAACATAAGCTGTGTGGCCTAGGAGGGGGCCCTATAGGGCAATATGGTACATTGTGGGCCCCCTGGAGAGCTGGAGGAGCTCAGACTATGGACCAGTATGGGCTGTATGGCTGGGGGGGGGGGGGGGCGC